GGCTGAACAAAAAAACACCCATGCTGAAACAGGAAGGAGAAGCTGAGACACAATCTAACCACAAAGTCCACTCCTGGCATAGAGTTTCACAATCAGGAGGGAACCCACAACTCAGAGCTCCTTCCTGAGGTGCACAGAATTTTAACTCCACATCTGGCACCCCAACTTCTAAGACCTGCACCTGAGACACTAGCACCGAAAACATTTAGCTTTGAAAGTTAACGGGGCTTATGTCCATGAGACCCACTAGGCTATAGTGAATGGAGAAACATTACTTAAAGGGCTCATGAGGACTTACTGTGTCTACCTCCCAGGGCCTAGTACAATGGCAGCCAAATAAAATGCCTAATCTTTCTGTAAAAGATACCTGTATGTTTATCTTAAAGCTTCAGCCTAAGGGGCAGACATCTAATTTAAGGCATACCTACAGGCTTACTGAATACTCTCCAAAAACCAAGGAGGCTGGCAAGAGCCACCCCGGTATTCTCCCTCTGCCTCACCCCATGTCACCAGTATTTCCCGGAAAGAAGCTTGTGCACACATCTGGTGGCCCAGTTTTACGGCTACTACTAAGGGGACACTCTGATTAACTGGCTCTAGTGGCCAGGGTGGTTGACATTTGTGGGTCCCACAGAACTGAAACAAATGGAGAAAGAATTCATAACCAGCAACAACTCACAGGACAAAGCACAGAGGCAACAGACAAGTGCTCAATCTTTCTGGGAAAGAGAACTATTGTCCTATTTTCCTAGCTTTGGCCTAAGGGAAAGACGTCGAATTAAACACACATCTAGGGTCCAACTACAATCCTGTGCAGAGATCAGGGAAACCAGTGGGCACCACCTTTGCAAATACCCTCTGCCCAGCCCCAGGTAGCTGGCATCTCTGTGAAAAGAGCTTCTGCCCACATTTGGTGTACTTTTGTGGTTGCTGCCCAGAAGAAATATCCCTTGGTAGCCTGGCTCTGGTTGTTAGCAAGTCTTGTGTTCACAGATTTAACAGGAGGGCACAAAGGAAAAAAAGAGTTCTTAACTATCATGCAGGGCTCAGCACAATAGGAGCAAATAGAAACGTCTGTCTCACAGGCTTCCATGGAAAGAAGTATATATGTACAACTTAAAAGCCGCTCCCAGAAGTCTGGCTTCCAATCAGCCTGAATTTAGGCATTGAGATCCTCCCCTTTACGACACTGACATGTCTTGGCAAACTCTCAATTGCTGGGAGCCACTAAGAACCAAGTGGGCTGCTTGGACAATCACAAGGGTTTGAGAGACAACCAAGAACTAGGACACAGTCGAACATTAAGGTTCACGTCCTACACAAGGCAACACTTTCAAAACTGGGAGAAGAGGATACTGGTTGTTTTATCTAATGCATAGAAACCAACAAAGTGTGTCAGGGAAACTAAAGAAACAAAGGAATATGTTCTAAACAAAAGAATTTAACAAAAACTTCAGGAAAATACTTAATGAAAAAGAGAAACGATTTACATGACAAAAAGTTCAAAATAACTAATAAAGATGCTCAGCAAGGTCAGCCGAGAATTTCAACAAATAGAAAGTATAGAAAAGTATCCCACAGAAATGATAGCTTTGAAGAATACAACAGCTGTACTGACAAATATAATAGAGGAGTGCAAAAGCAGATTAGAAGAAGCAGAAGAAAAGATCAATGAACTCGAAGACAGGGCAGCTGAACTCATCCAACTAGAACAGCAAAAAGAAAAAAAAATTTAAATGAGTGAAGATAGTTTAAGGACTTTATGGGAAAACATAAAGAGGACCATTATTCACATTGAAGGG